GTGGGCACTAGGACCGAGGCCAATTTGATTTTATTAGGTGCATGCGGGCTCTGGAATCGAGGTTCAGTCAGGCCTACAAAGTCAGGCGAGCGGGGGGGTCGCCTGGCGAGTTTCGAGCTTCAGGCGGGCTCACGAGATCATGCGAAACTCGGGTCTCCTGGTGGGCACTCGGATCGATGTCAATCTTGGCTTTATTAGGCTGATTTGACCTTGCTTCTAGGCTTGTTTAGGCAGCCCCTTTCTTTGTTGGGCTCAAGAGAAGCATAGGGTAGGGTAGGCTAGGCTAGGCTTTGATGTTGACATTGATGGACTTGTCAAATCAATTTTGTCATGAGGAAAACATATGTTATGGAGTGCTTCATACGTGCCCCCTTCTCTTTGTTAAGCTCAAGAAAGGCTTAGGGTTGACATTGATGGACTTGTTAAATCAATTTTTGTCATGAGGAAGCTTACTCTCTCTTTGTTGGGCTGAAGAAGAGATTTGATGTTGACATGGGAAATCATTTTTTTATGTTATCATGTGTGCTCCTCCTTCCTTGGTTCCTGCGTCCTCCTTCCCCTCTCTTTGTTAAGCTCAAGAAAGCCTAGAATAGGCTAGGCTAGGCTATGATAGACATATCTAATCAAATGAGAAAGCTCACTCTCTCTTTGTTGGGCTGAAGAAGAGACTTTATGTTGACATGGTAAGGACATGGGAGGATCAATTTTTGATGTCATGAGGATGCTTTCTTTGTTCCAACGTGCTCCCCCTCCCCTCTCTTTGTTGTGCTCAAGAAAGCCTAGAATAGGCTAGGCTAGGTCCAATCAAATGAGTTTGTCATGAAGCCTTCTTGCCCCTGCGTTCCCCCTCCCCTCTCATCGGGTTTACCTGACCCCTCAAGCCCAGCTTTCTTTCTATAAAGTCAGGGGACCTTTGCTTTTGACTTTTTACCCCCTTTTAGATTCCCCAAAGCTTAACTAAGTCCTTCTCCAAGCTTTGAATTGCCATGGCTTACAAGAAAGTTGTTTCTGAGGAGAAAACTTCCTCCTTCACCACCGCCTTTGCCGCCGCCGGCGTGGCTCGGGCTCACCTCGGTAAGTCTACTAATAAGCTTCTTCCGCTCAGGCGGGGTTCGATGAATTTTCTCGTCGACTTGTAGGCGGACTATTTAGTTTCGGTATGAGAACTCAAGTTTCCAAGTTCAGGCGGGCTTTGCCTTCGGGCGAGCTTTGCCCCCAAGCTTATGCGAATTCGAGTTTCCAAGTTCAGTCGGGCTTTGCCTTCGGGTGAGCTTGAGCTCCTCCAAGTTTAGGCGGGCTTTGCCTTCGGGCGAGCTTTGCCCCCAAGCTTATGTGAATTCGAGTTTCCAAGTTCAGGCGGGCTTTGGCTTCGGGCGAGCTTTGCCCCCAAGCTTTAGGCAGGCTTTGCCTTCGGGTGAGCTTGAACCCCTCCAAGTTCAGGCGTGCTTTGCCTTCGGGCGAGCTTGAGCCCCCTCCATGTTCAGGCGGGCTTCGCCTTCAGGCGAGCTCTGCCCATCCAAGTTCAGTCGGGCTTTGCCTTCGGGCGAGCTTTGCCCCCAAGCTTATGCGAACTCGAGTTTCCAAGTTCAAGCGGGCTTTGCCTTCGGGCGAGCTTGAGCTCCTCCAAGTTTAGGCGGGCTTTGCCTTCGGGCGAGCTCTGCCCCCAAGCTTATGCGAATTCGAGTTTCCAAGTTCAGGCAGGCTTGTTATCTCGCCTGTACAAAGGATTCGCCAGTTTGCGATATTTAGAAAATTTTATCCTTTCAGCTGGAACTTTAATCCTCCTTTGCCTTATTTTGCAGCTATTTTCTCCGATGAGGCCCTTCCTAGGGGTCGTGCCATCGGTCTTGCAGGAGGTACGGGCTTCGCGGCTCCTCCAATATTCCCGCTTCTTGATCCGATACCCGTTTTCGATGTTGACAAGACCACGGAGCTGAAGCGGAAGATATCCGAGGGGAACCATCTTATACTGCAAGAATTGACCACTATTGCCGCACTAGTAGATAGCCGATGCAAGGAGATGAAGAGGCCCGATTTCATGTTTGGTGATGCCGCGGTGGATCCTCCGGTTATGCTATTTGGCGAAAGCAGGTGGTTTTGAGAGGTAGGAGGAGTTCGATACTTCCTTCCTGCCATGACGAGGGGGTTTTCGATAGTAGAACTGCGCTCCCTGTCGGTACCTCGCAAAATGGATTGGGAGTTGACTCCTAATCAGGATGGAGTGACTTGTGGCGTCTTCACAGGTTCCTAAACAGGCTATGGGGTCGATCGCACGGGCAAGCATGTTCACGCCTTGCATCCTTGCTTGCTGCAGAGTGAGTTGCCTATGGGAGAGATAATTATCGCGGCGGAAACCTTTCGTCGCCGCTTCTTCAAAGCCGGGGGGCAACTCCCTTCGAAGGATTTCAGGGTGCCCGAGTGGATCTACTCCTCGCCAGGCAATGGTCCTTCGTGGTACCGGATCACCCAGTATGTGTTGGAGGAGAAACCCGATCTTCGGGGATCGGATCTGTATAGGGCCATCAGGGCGACTCAGCACGGACTGAAGATCAACACCCCTCAATTCCAGCGTCTCCTGGAGTTGTATTGTCTAGATAGCGGCACCTTCTTTACGCCGAATGGGGAGCTCGGGCTAGTGCTCCACGAGATGTACGAGGTGTCGGGGTTGCCGATGGGGGAGTTTCCGTACGAGGAGTATGTCCCTAGCCAGGAGGAGATTGGCCGCCTCTCCGATAAGTCCCCTCAGGTGGTAGAGACTCTATGGGAGTTATTCTGCCATTATTTCATCTGCTTGGACACCCTCGGGTCGGTAGACCACAAGGGTAAGAAGAAGAAGACACCGGGGATCAGTCACAAGAATTGGGCCGACTATCTGTTCCCCCACAATGGTGATAAGCAGAAGCCTATCTCGACGTTGCATGCATGCGACCCTTCGGAGATGGAGGGGAGGATGTACAAGAATGGTGGTTCCATAACCCTTGAGCATGACGAAGGTGGTTTCTGCTTCGGAACATCCTTTCGCTCATTCCATCACCGGGCTGCGGTGCCGATGACGGGCAAGGCCTTATTGGCTGGGTACCTGATGCTATGGTTGAAAAGATGCGTGATTCCCACACATTCCGTCGACGCACTTCCGGTGGAGGTTGTCTACCCTGCTGTTCATTTGGCTTACGGGAGGCCTTATGCTTTGGTGTCGGCCACGACGGCGTGCATCCATAGGGGGCTCCGCATGCTATCGACGCACTTTTGTCGAGTCGTGACTGTGGAGGAGGAGGGAGTAGAGGTTGTCAAAACTCCAAATCCTTGCATAGGCCTGCCCTACACATATTTGATGGCTTGGTTCGTCAAACATTGTGAATGTTTGATGAGCGCTCCATTAGCCTGCCCGGATGGTGGGTTTGTTCCCTTTGTTCAGCAGTTGGAGGATTGCTCTTGGAAGCTAAATGGCATCGCAGACATGAGGAAGGCGCTATCTTTCTTCGGTCATTATAGCTTCTTTCGTTATTTCCCTTACTTCTCGGGCGGAGGATACGGTGAATTGCTTCAGGATGCGCCGGCGACGGACGAGTACACGACTCTTTTCTTGGGAGCTTTCAGATGGTTGGTGAATATTCTCCCGGGGTATCATGTCTTTCGGTCAGGCTCAACATGTTACTTTGAGCCTTATCTCCCCTGCCGATTTTCCCGTCAATTCGGGTATGACCAACTCTATGTAGGGAACGTCCAGCCCCGGCTGAGCTTCAAAGGGGGCCTGGTAGATGGTGCTCGGGGATGGTTTTGGATGCATGCTGGTAGCACCAGTGCACGATTTGAGTTGCCACAGCGGGATCGTGCTCTCCGCCACACGCTCACATATTGCAAGTGTTACAGAGGTCCGAGCGCGAGCCCTGAAGGGTTCAACGCTTATGAGTCTTGTCTCCCGACACGAAGGCATCGGTCGAGCGCAGCTCCTCGGTCATCATGGCAAGGAGGGCGTGAACAGGTTAAAGGATCCGACCCGACTCCTGCCGGGGATGATTGGGAAACTCTTCTCTATGAGGGCTTGGATGTTGCTCCACCGTCAGATTTTTCAGCTCGCTATGACCTCAACCAAGCGGCAATCGACAAAGGTCAGGTGGCGATAAGAGCGTTGACCCAAGTCAAAGGGTGTTCGGAACGGGTCGAGGGAGGCCCTGCCAAACACATACATATGTTGATTTCTGCTCTTTCTCCCTTAACCCCATCGATGCGCAGGTGTGAGGTGGATGTCATCTCTCCCGTCGAAAGGTTAGTCAAGAGGGCTCGCCATGAAGAGAAGTCGTTGATTCATGAGGAGGCGCGAGGTCAGGAGGCAGGGGCCCTGACTCCGGCGGAGACATTCGTCAGAGAGGCGTCGCTTTCTTCAGGGGATTCGTTTGCCCAAGTGACTGAGCTCTCGGAGGCGGGGTCTCCTGCTCTGTGCGAGAGGCCTACCACGGATGGAGGGGGTACAACAAGCCCTTCCGTCTTGATGGTGATTTGATCTGAGGGGGATGTGCCTATGTCGGCCTCGGCGCGCCTTAACAGAAGGATTATGGAGCGGGTAACCCGAGATTTCCGCACCGCCCTTCGCGATAGTGTTCAGATGGTATTGGAAGAAGGTTGTCCCTTTAGCGAATTTAGAATGGCGCTACAGATGTACCTGGACAACTTGCATCTGTTGGCTAGCACTGACACGGCCTCTTCGCTCGAGAAGCACATGAAGGAGGTGGGGATGAATGTTGACAGGCTGCTTACCCTCCGTTCTCAAGACCCGGCCACCCAAGTCTCAGAACATGTCCAAACCATTTTGAAGGAGCGGGAGCAATTTTTAATGGAGACTACCGCCAAGGAGGCCAGGCTGTTAGGAGAGGTGGAGCGGATTGCGACGGGGGTCGCGCTGGCAGACGACGAGCACTGAGAAGCCAGTGCTTTCTTGGAGGAGGCGGCCCAATCCATATTGACAGCGGAGCAGACCATCACTCAACTACAGGCTCACGTTGCTACTCAGAAGGAGGCCCGTGAGCAAAGGCTGAAAAAGTTAGAGGAGATCAAAAGTGAACGTCAATTGATGGTGACCGACTTTAAAGAGAAGCGTCAAACTTTGGAAGCGGTGAGGTCCAAGCTTCACAACGCCTCCTTGATCATTGATGACGTGGTCCATCAGCAGACTCTTGCTGCTCTAGAGAGGGACCATCAGAGTGCGATCCGGGATGCAGAGTCGTGGCTACAGCGTTTCCTTTCAACTTGATCTGGTTGTATCCTCTTTAGCTTTGTTTGCATTGTATCAGAATCTCCTCTATGAAATCACGCTTTTGTTAAGCTTTGGCGAACCGGATTGATCTCGAGAATGCTTGTTAACTTTCTATGTCGTCATGACTTTACTCGAATGCATTATCATAACTTAAGATCAATTGAAGTATGTGCCGTCGCGCTTGTATATCATTCTTTGACCCTCCGCTGATCATCTTCTAGGATTTTTAGCAAACCCTCAGCTATCAACGGATTTAATTTGCCTTTACCGATTACCGTTTGAATCGGGCTAGCATGCGGATTGTCTAAATCTGTTCCGCATGTAATGTTGTGATAAGAGAGTTAACTCCCTTAGTGCTACGATGTTGAATACGTAGACATTGTCTTTCTTACGGGAATAGACCACCCGGCTACGTGTGTTATACATAGACTTGTCCCTAATGAGGGATCGAGGTGAAATCCCCTATGCCAGAGAGGCACAGATCTAGCTGTTGTTTGAGTCAACAACGACAACTGGCTACACACGCGGGTTGGCCACACATGTATGTTGACCCTATAGTTTTGATGATGATTTGTCAAATAATTTATCGCTAATATATTCTCTAGTTTTGTGTTTATGTTTCTCTTTACAGGTATTTCAACACACGTCAATCGAGCATTAAAGATTCAAGTTCATATGTGTGGATTTACCTAGGTATAAGTTTAGTTTACTTACATATATTGTATGATTAGATCTAAGCTCAATATATGTACACTTAACACGATTTTTGACGTTTTCTATCATATAAATGATTTTTCATCAAACGTTGTTACAATATCTTATATCTCATGTTTACAGCTCTTTCATAATTCATTATATACATATAATACATGCATAATATATATATACATTTTTACAAGCCTTATGTCAATTTTCATGTTCACAAAAGACAGGTTTTCTGAACACTTTTCAAAAACAGGGAGTTTTCACAAACAAAAATTGATTTTCCAAAAATTCCTTTTCAAACATGTTTATTTCATCATTTAGAAACTTTCCCCAAAGTTTCACTATTTTTGGAATTGATTTGATATTTTTAATGAATTTTCAAAATAGCCCAAAAACCTGTCATTTGAAATATATCAGATTCCGGTCGACCGCCGCGGTCGACCAGCAATGGTATTTTTCCTTAGCATGGTTTTTATGTGCTTGTGGTCGACCGTGACGGTCGACCGTGAAAACATCCAGAGACTTTCGCGGTCGAGCCGTCGCGTGTCGACGCTTTTTGCTTTTTTTTTTTCTTCTTTTGGTCAGCTTTTAGATTCACATTGTGTGTTTTGAGCTCTCCGTCGTTCCGGCACGCGGTCGACGGAACTGTCAACTCATTTCCAACGGCTAGTTTTTACAGCTGTTTTCAAATTGGTTTTTTGATATTTTACTTGTGTTTTTACTGATGTATTGGGGTGTTATAAATACCCCATTGCTACCTTCTTTCTAAACATCCATGAAATCCAAGTTTTGTGTTTAACAAAATATTAAGTGTGTTTTCAAAGAGCTGTTTAAAGCTGATTTCATCAATCTGTTTCAAGAGAAGTTTTTCTACAACAAGAAGTGGCTTTCAAATCCTATTGGGATTTTGAGAAGTTTTCTAAACTCTTATATAGCTTGTTATTTCATTTTCATTTCATTTAGCTATATTTATTGAGTTTCATTCACTGTTATCACACACACATATTGAGCCTAATATTTTCATACCATATAGTGTGGGTTGTGGGGTGTGATTTAGTGAGTGTGAGCTTCATTGTGTTCTCACTTGTTATTTGAGAACAAATCAATGTATTTATCCTTTATTTGTGAGAATCACTTGTAATACACTTGTTCACCGAGAGAAGTGTGAGGCGAGAGATGGGGTCAAATCCAATAGGAGTGGCGTCGGTTGACGAACCTAGGGAGAGGTTGTAACCGAGCACTTGAGGAGGAGGACACGGGCTAGGTTCCTACACTTAGTGTGTAAAGTGTGATTGCATAGTGTTTGTGTAGTGTGAGAGTTTTTGATGATCTTGTAAACCGAGTGTGTAGAAGTTCCGGCTTCCAAACCGGATTGTGATAGTGGATATCTCCTAGAGGTGAGGAGCGGAGACGTAGGTCGTGGTGACCGAACCTCGTAAACATATCGTGTGTTTGTGTTTTTGCTTGACTTATATTTTATTTTGTGCATATTCTTATTGTTCTTATTCATATCTATCTCATATCATTCTTGCAAGAATAAATTAATCAATATAATTTTAATTAGAATTTAATTGGGATTAGATTAGCATAAGACCCTAATCCCGCCCCCTCTAGGGTCTAACAGGCAAAGACGAACCCGGGATAGTGGCACATCGCATAGTAGGCCACTATCAACGCACAACGTCATCGGCGGGAATGACGGTATGAAGGTAATCGATCGTTCAGTGACATAGGGTATGACGATTGATTGATGTAGTAGCCATGTTTACTGTTAGGTTACTACCCATCAATTGTTCCAGGAATATTAGAACGCTCGGAAAGGATCAGGTCGTTCAGGGACGTTTGGGTATGACGACTGATCGGACTACGCCATTTGCGGGAACGACAGTGTCCACTATCGGAGGTGATCATTAACCAGATAGTTTCGTGAACCCACCATCCTATTGGAGAGGAGTGGTGAGGGATTTTGTCAGGGATGTAATGTTAATATGACAGTAATATCCACCATCCTATTGGAGAGGAGTGGTGAGGGATTTTGTCAGGGATGTAATGTTAATATGACAGTAATATCACGGCCGGGGCGATTATGAGGACCTACCATCCTATTGAAGAGAATTTGTAAGTTGGTTTGTTAGAGGTGTAATATTAACGTGACAGTAATATCGCGGTTGGGCCGATTATGAGGACCTACCATCCTATTGTAGAGGATTGGTAAGTTAGTTTGTCAAAGGTGTAATGTTAACGTGACAGTAATATCGCGGTCGGGGCGATTATGAGGACCTACCATCCTATTGAAGAGGATTGGTAAGTTAGTTTGTCAGAGGTGTAATGTTAACGTGACAGTAGGAGTGTAGGAGATGCAGTTTATACTCATATACTTGTCGGAGTACAGGGGATCAGTTTAGCCTCATGCGGGAGGTGGTACAAATTTGCGAGAAGACTAAGGATAGTACTTCTTCAGGTATTTGCCGTTGATAGGCATCATGATTTTGTCACCATTTGGTTTGACGAGGCGATAGGATCCATTCGAGTAGACCGTTTCTATCATGAAAGGTCCTTCCCACTTGGATTCGAATTTGCCTTTCTTCTTGGAGTTGAGTATCATGGACCGTCGGATAGCAAGGACCAGCTCTCCTTCCTTGAAGGAACGGTGCTTGACCTTTTTGTCGAAAGCCTTAGAGATTCGAGCTTGATAGAACTTAATGTGTTGTTGAGCGTCAAGCTGCTTTTCATCTAGCGCCTCAAGCTCTACGAGACGACGCTGATGGCTTTGCCCAGTCATCATCTTTGTCACAAGTGCAACGCGTAGGCATGGAATCTGGATTTCGAGAGGTAGCACAGCTTCGCAACCATAAACTAGCAAGAATGGCATGGCGCCAGTGGGGGTTCGGACTGTAGTTCGGTATGCCCACAAACTTTCACCGAGCCTCTCGTCCCAATCGCGCTTGTTATTGGCGGTTAGCTTGGTCAAGATCTTGATGATTGTCTTATTGAAGGCTTCGGCTAATCCATTCACTGAAGGATTATAAGCCGTGGATGCCAGGTTCTGTATCCGAAACTTGTCACAGAACCAGGTGAATGCATGGCCGACGAATTGCGACCCGTTGTCATGAATGATGCACCTCGAGACGCCATATCGATAAATGACGCGGTGTTGGATGAACTTAATCACATCGCTCGCTTTGACTTCTCTCAAGGGCTCGGCTTCGGCCCACTTGGAGAAGTAGTCGGTTATCGTGAGGATGAAGCGATGACCTCTTGCAGATGGAGGAGATATCGGTCCGACGACGTCCATCCCCCATGTCTCAAACGGCCACGAGGTCGCTGTCGGATGCAGATCCTCTGGCGGTTGATGGAGGTAATTAGCATGGATTTGGGACTTATGGCAATGCTTGGCGTAAGCAACCGCGTCGCTGATCATCCTGGGCCAATAGTAGCCCATCCTTCGCAAGCGATCGCAGAGTTTGGGCCCAGGCTGGTGGGCTCCGCAAGTACCGCCATGGGCTTCCTTCAGGGCTTCACGTGCTTCCGTCGTTGAGAGACATCGAAGCAATATGCCATCATATGACCTACGATAAAGCGCCTTTGTGGTCGCATCATAATAGAATCTCGGAGCGTGTCTGCGAACAGAATCCCGTTCTTTGACATCTTCAGGTAGAATACCATACAATACGTAGTCAATGATTGGGAAACGCCAATCCCTCTCTTTAGACTGATCTGGTGCCTGGTAAGTAGTGTTAGCTTCAGCCGGAGTGTCTTCTGATTTGAAGAGTCGTCGGCTGGCGACGGTGACGTGTTGGCATGTTCCTAACGGCTGGGCTAGGTTAGCTGCCAATGACGCCAAAGCATCTGCATGTGTGTTCTTGGAGCGAAGTATATGCTTGATGCGGAAGCTGTCAAATGATCCGGCTAGTTTGATAGCCTCTTGGTGACATGGGATTAGGTCGTCATTTCTGACTTCATATTCCCCTGTCATCTGCTTGATGATGAGCTGAGAGTCACCATAAGCCTCAAGGTGTTTCACCCCCAACTCCTTGGCGAAGTCAAGTCCGATGAGCAGTGCATTGTATTCAGCCACGTTGTTGATACATGGTTCGGTTAGGGAGAAGGATCGGGGTAGGACGTGGTTCTGTGGAGAGACCAAGACCACTCCTACACCTGTGATAATAGACCCGTTGGTGCCTACCCGGGATGCACCGTCGAAGTAAAGTCGCCATACATCTTCCTGTGAGGTCACGTTGACTTTGTGAGTCTCATCTGACATGTCTTCGAACAGGTTAGTCTTCGACTCAAGCGGATGGCTGACCATGAGATTGCAAATTGCTTGTCCTTTGACAGACTTCTGCGGCATGAAGTGGATATCATATTAGGACAGCAAAAGCGCCCACCTCGCCAGGCGCCAGTTTAGGGACCCGGGTTGTGTCATGAAAACTCGGATAGGATTCATTTGAGAGATGACATGAATGGTTTGACCAACCAAGTAGTGTCGCATATTTTGGATAGCAAACACCAGGGCTAGACATTCCTTCTCAACCATAGGGTATCGTCGTTCGGCTCCCTGTAGGGTCCTACTCAGGTAATAGATGCCTTGCTCATGCCCGACTTCGTCATTCTGTGCTAGGAGGGCGCCGAGAGAATGCTCCATTGCACGAATGTAGATTAGGAAGGGTTTCCCTAAAATGGGGGCCGCTAAAACAGGCAGATTCGAGAGATAGTTCTTGATCTCATCGAATGCTCGTTGGCAAGGCTCGTCCCATATGAAGGAAACGCCTTTCTTCATCAGCTTGGAGAAGGGTTCGCATTTACCTGAAAGGTTAGCGATGAATCTTCGAATGTAATCTAGACGTCCTTGTAGTCCTCTCAATTCCTTCAGATTCCTGGGAGGTTGGAGCTCTTGGATAGCTCGGACCTTGTTGGGATCGATGTGAATTCCCTTTGTCGTGACAACAAAGCCGAGGAACTTGCCGCTCGACATCCCCAAGAATGATTTTGTAGGGTTCATCTTTAGTTGATGCGATCGCATGAGGTCGAACATTACTCTCAGATCTTGAAGATGATCGTCTTTGCTGCGACTCTTCACCACTAGGTCATCCACGTAGCATTCGACTGTCTTTCGTAGATGTTTTTGAAAAATTGTGGTCATGGCACGTTGATAAGTTGCGCCAGCGTTCTTGAGTCCGAAGGGCATAACTGTGTAACAATATACCCCCATTGGAGTTCTGAACGAAGTGTGCTTCTCATCCTCAGGGTGCATCTTGATTTGATTATACCCCGAGAACCCATCCATGAAGGACATCCTTTCAAACCAGCATGTATTGTCGATAATGACGTCCGTGATAGGCAAAGGGAATTGTAGGCATATAAAATTGCTTATAGGTCCCTTAGCTCAGCTCGGCACAAACCGACGAACCAACGAGGCGACGAGATCGACGAATCGCACGCAAGCAATGGAATATATCCATTCGCGTTCGGCGTGTTCGGAATCAAGCCAAGTGTTGAAGAGTCAACGAGTCATCCAACCAAGGGCAGACTCGTACGAATCACGATCGAATCAAGATCAGTTTCGGACTCGAACTCAGAAGTGGATCTACTGCCAAATCAGGAATCGAATCTACTGCCAAATCAGATCAACGAATCAAGTCTGGATAAATCAACCACAGAACCGAATCATGGATAGAACCAAGAGCGGAAAACAACGAAACAACCATGCCTAAGGGGGCTCGGCCAAAGCCGAGCCACCCATAGGTGGCTCGGCCTAAGCCGAGCCACCCATGGGTGGCTCGGCCCAGTGCCGAGCCACCCATAGGTGGCCAACAGTGTCCTGTGCGCGGGCGACAGTAAGAGAAGCCTATAAATAGGCCAAGGGGTTCTTCATTTTAGGGGGTTGGAAATTTTGGAGGCGAAGCTCTGTCGGATTCAAGACTCGAAACTTAAAAAAGATTGGAGCTTTGGGACTTCGGGGACTCACGCTTCCAGATCTGGTGCTCAGCGATCGTCAACGCCAAAAAAGGCAGGTGTTCGAGAGGACCGGATCTCAGATCTACGCAGACGTACTCCGGATCTAAGCTTGGTCTTAGATCCCGAGACTTGGACGATTGTTTCCTTGGTGAATCAATCCTCCCCGGCTATTATTTCCTTTGTGGAATAATACCCGTCGTACTGCTTAGATCTGATCGGATCTAGATCTCGCGGTGGTCCACGGATAAACCCCGGCGCAGGCAAAGAACCCACACAAAGCAAGAGACCGCAAAACAGGATCTTGCGATTCGTTCGACAAATAAGAAGAAAGTTGTAATTTTCTTTATTTCTTGTGTTATTTGATTTTCGTTGTAACCGGATCTAAAAAAGACCGGATCTTTGTAATCGATAAACTATTACAAGAATTTGCAATGGAATCAATAATGAAGAAAGCAACGAATTTTCCGGCGAACAGTGGTCCATGAAACATCAAACCAATGTCAGGCTTACTCTTCTGCCACAGAGGGCGTGGTGACTCTCTCGAAGAGAGCCCGCCAAAGGCAACGTCAACGCCTTGCGAAACGATTCGCAAAGGCCATGGAGTCAGTTGACGGGATCCGCTACAACGTGGATCTGAAGAACAAAAGAGGCAAGCAGCCTCGACAATCAACGAATGGTGGTTCCTCCAAGCCGCCAACAATGGAATGGGTCCGTGTCAAACGGAACCGATCGACGCTGGAGGAGCGCATTCGTAAGCGCCGCGCACTATCAGCGCAGGCACGGGCTCAAGCTGAAGAAGCCCGTAGAAAGCTGCAGAAAGAGGTAGCCAAGAAGCTGCCACCAACTCGCAAAGTTTGGAGGCCGAAGTCTGAAGCGGCGGTTCAGACCAAAAAGCAGCAACTGCAGCCTCCAACCAAAATTCAACCTCCGGCGAACCAAGCTAAGTCGCTGAGAATTCCCATAGCTACTCCGGGAGATCATGCAGAATCCTCCCGAAGGAGAAAGCCAGTCTTGGAGCGCCTCGGTCCAATTCCCGACGAGAGAGGCAAAGCTCCAGTTCACGAGCGTTTGGGCCCGATGAAGAAGCCCAGAACGACTCAACACGCTGGGGGTCGCCGTCACCTCCAGTATAACAAAGAACTCAAGGCAGCTGCGCTCACCAACTTGCGCATCGAAGTCCAAGAGCACGCTGAAGACTCGCGCCCACAAAGGCACGTTTCGAGGCGTGTAACTTTTGAAAGCCCAAAGAAGGCAATCCAACCTCAGATGGAAACATTATCATCTGATAGTGATAGTGTTATACCTGAGAAGTCGTGCCCGCACACGATAGGTTACTCCGACTGTCAAAATGACGAGTTGTACTATCGTGCTGGGGGTACGAATAGAACCAGGAAGAGGAGTCCCCGAGAACAGGAAACTCAATGCCCCTGTTCCAAACTCATTCGGGCGGTATTGTCTGAATGCAACTGCATTAAGGCAGTCCCCGAAAGAGTTTCAGTTTTTGAGAGACTTAGTGCGGAGACGCCAAAACCAAGGCCTAGGCGTTCCCTACGAAGAAGAAGGATGGTTGAAGACGGAGAATTTCCGAGCGTCACCACCAATATGACCAGCAAGGGGACATCGGCACGGGATGATTTCGAGTCGATTCTGAAAGCATCCCGGCGTCTAACCCGTCTGCAGTCTGGAGCAATCGTACGAGGAACTTATGGTAGGGTTCGGACAAGAGTACCTTCAGAAGGTGAAGAGTCGGATACCTGCTCCGCCATCGCATCAGATAATACAGTGTCCAGTGAGGGGGAACCCCGCGAGTCACTGATGATAAGCGCGGAACAAGTGGCCAAGATGCTCGAAGATGCCATAGCCAAACAACAGGAAAGCTTTAGGTTCGAGATGCAGATGACCATGCAGACTATGAGAGAGATGCATGAGCAACAAATTCAGGCACTGACGAACCAGCGAGGTGAACCAAGCCGCCGTAACCAGGTTGTTCAGGAAGATGGTAACGAGGATGCCAACGAGGATACAAGTGAAGACTTGAAGATCAAAGATCTCGAGAGCAAAATCAACACATTGATCTCCGCTCAAGAGACGAAGAAAACAGGCATTCCCTGTCCATACCCAAGAGAGTGGGAATCGATCCCATATCCGGCGAAGTTCAATCTAATCAACTTCACGCCGTTCGATGGGAAGGGTTCCCCCACTCAGCATGTGATTTATTTCAAATCACACCCGGGGGTAATCTCCGGCAATGAGCCTCTGATGGTGCGGTCATTCGTCGGCACTCTTCGCGGAGTGGCTTTCGATTGGTATCGCCGCCTCAAGCCAGGCAGCGTAAATAGCTGGGACGACATGGAGACCAAGTTCCTTGCCAATTTCTTCGACGACGACACCAAGGTATCTATCGGATCGTTGCTCGATGAGAAGCAGAAAGACGGAGAGTTAGTCGACACCTTCGTCAAAAGGTTCCGGAACAAGGCGATGAATTGCCGGGACCCGATCACAGAGGAATTCATCCTCCAAACTTGCCACAACAACCTTGCGTTGGACGTGTTGGAAGCAATGGGCACAGCACCGTCCAAAACGTGGCAGGATCTGAAAGTCCGAGGAGAGCAAGCTGAACGTTTCCTCCGAAGGAAGAAGGCCGAGAGGAACCAACCGACGGTTAATCCGCTGGACTCAAATTTCGCCTCTCGTGGTAAGGGCAAAACACCTGCAGCTACTGGTGGTGCTAATCAAGCGTCACAACAGCAATCCCGAAGGCAGCAAAAGACTTCGGGTCCGAGACTCCAAAGAGAGTATTCCTTCAAGGACGAAGACGTTCCAGCCATCTTCGAATCCCTCCTTGAAGGTAACAAGATCAAGCTACCACCTATCACAAATCAGGAGGAAGCTGACAACACTACGGACCCAAAGTACTGTGCATACCACAGGAGGGTCGTTCATCCCACCAAGGATTGCTTTGCTCTCAAGAATAGCATTCAGACCTTGGTTGAAGCCGGCGTCATAACGCTGAGGTAAGCCAATTGAGAATGGCACGACTCCGATAAGTATAAGAGTATAAACTGCTTCTCAAAACTCCAAAGAGTATACGAGTATAAACTGTTTCTCAAAAACTCCGACCGGTATAAGAGTATAAACTGCTTCCTAAAACTCCAAAGAGTATACGAGTATAAACTGTTTCTCAAAACTCCAACCGGTATAAGAGTATAAACTGCTTCCTAAAACTCCAAAGAGTATACGAGTATAAACTGTTTCTCAATCCTCCGACCGGTATAAGAGGTTAAACTACTCCCTGATACTCCAATAGGTATATGAGTCTAAACTGTTTCCCACTTTTGACGGGAAGTTCCTGGAGAATATTACGCTAATATTCTTAAGGATAACCCGATCAGGTAACTGAGAATAATGTCCGAACCAGTTCCGCAAAGGAAACTGGGGGTGGACGATTTATGTAACGGGAAGTTCCCAAAACCACAGCAATGTAATAAATGAGAACTCCCATTCAAATTCCCACCGTGTCTGTGTACTCAACACTCTCTTTGTTAGAGTCTGGACATAAAACCCTCCATTGGTCAAACCTTCTTACAGTTAGGACCACAGTCAAAATCCCCTCTCGATTCTCCCAATGAACGAGAGGTCCACAAATCAAGCGATCAAACCTTCCTACAGTTAGGATCGTCTTAAACCTTCCACTTGGTCAAACCTTCCTACAGTTAGGACCACAACCAAAACCTCCTCTCGATTCCTCCAATGAACGAGAGGTCCACTTTCAAATCGAGTGATCAAACCTTCCTACAGTTAGGGTCACCTCAAACTCCTGTTTGGCCAAACCTTCCTACAGTTAGGGTCAAAACCATAATTCACTCTCGATAAACGAGAAATTCATCTTTAGTTCGGTAATCAAACCTTCCGACAGTTAGGGTTATCCGAATCTTTTCGATTCTCGGAGTGGAGATCCCACTCTCAGTTTCACCTTTCCGGATTCTGGGGGTGGAGATCCCACCTCGAGTCTCCTTTCCAATTGAAGAGAGAATATAAAATTCT